GAATCATGACATGTCACACATGGCATGTGTCCTTAAGGGGTTAAATCCATAAGTGTGTGCATGGTTTGTCCATATTCTAATCTAGTGTAAATGATTTAGGAGCAAGAGCCCATTATATGAAATAATGTTCAGGTTTTTCATGTTTTTAATTACTGATTAAAGTTGTTTCATGGAATTATTAAAATAGATTTATGGCACAATTGACTCATCTACAAATATACATACAGCTATTAAAAACAAACAATAAACTCAGCAATTAAATTTAGATTTTCTATTTCTTCCCTAATATAATTAAGTTGTTTCTTTTATATTCGTCTGTGGTTACTGAGAGTGGAGGAATTTATATTCTCAATGTAGGAGGTTTTTTAAAAATCTCCTATTCTAAGTGAAGGCTAAGACTCCTTTAAGCTGCGACATATTGAATTAATTCATGATCCTTACTGTGGGACATTTTATATACACACTAAAAATGCATCAAATAATCTACTACAGATTTTTCATGTAAAAAAAGAAATAGATTGTTGATGGATTAGGATGTAATGCTGCTGCTCTTTCATGTGTACAACTCGTAACTGATTGTGGATGATAAATAGGTGGGCGATTCTACAGTGAATGGCAATTATTTTTCCATTATTGCTGAATAGCAAAGAATATTTATTAATAATGGAACTAATTTATTCCAAAACTAAAATGAAGGAAATTACTTAATTTTTAAAGCTTGGCCAACCACCAGATCACCTCCTTAGGCTGCTCACACCTATTATGCCACAGATGGCTCTTCACAAAGAAAGAAAGGTTTGGACAAGCTTTTTAAATGATTTAATATTTTGAAAAATATTTTAATATGTAAATGTTTTTTAAATAGCGATGTATTTTTTTCACGTGTTTTTTTTTTTATATTTTAGTAATAAAATAAATTGTATCCTAAAATATTAAATCATTTAGAAAGCTTATCCAGACATGTTAAATCGAGGCCAAAGTTATAAAACAGTTAGCGATAACAGTACAAATAACATTAAATTAAGGGAAACTGGCACAAAGTAAAGTTTATGCAGACAACCTCCTAACCCACCTACTGGAGTGACTGAAAGATTGACACTTATTCGAAAAGTTAATATAAATAATGCTACAACCCAAGATGAGTGTTCAAAGTCATCTGTTAAGGATGATCAAAGGCAGAAACAACACATTTTGATTAAGAAGATTCTGTTTGATAGATAATGATGTTTTGCTAATCTCTGCAAATCTTTTCTGTGATAAAAATGCTAAAAAGAATGGTGACTATAAATTGTTTAAAGAGCTTTACTGTGTACACATAAAGTGAACTTATTATTTTCTTTGGATGAATCTAACCATTTATTTTCCCAGACTTTTAACATACTGTACTTTGGGAATTGATATTTGTTTTTCTATGCACATGGAACCTTACAAAACATTAAAAATAACAGTCTCTCTGTTCTGGGTTTGTTCTCTGATGCCCTCAATATTGTACTACATAAAATATGGCTCCCGTGCCTGGTCTACCCTTACCCCCTCCCCTCTATGGCTCTCTTGCTCCTCCTTTTTCTATACTTTTCCACTTTCTCTTATTCTGGCCCCCACTCTGGACAAGGGCCTTCTCACTTTTTATCACAAGTATAGCTTCCAAAAGCACTGATAGTTTACACAAGCTTAGAGTTAGCGTATTCACCCAAGTTATAGCAAGCCAGATAGGTGGACACCAGGGGCTGGGGGGGTTTTTCTCGCGGCCCAAGACTACTGGCGCATCGGGCACGACACTAAGAGCCCGCCCAGACCTTCTTGTTGCAGGTGCTGCACGGCATTCAGCTGAACTTGGCCGTGCGGGCCCCTTACCCCTGTGCTGCCGGGCCTAATTAGCTCCAAAGGTTTCCCGCAAGAACACACGATCATACTCCTACGCAGTGTCCTTTAGCAAGACGTAGAGTAGACGCTTCTGGTTACCTCTAAGGGCCCTACACCGTCCCTGGCCGTTTTTTAGCTCATGACTGTGCAAAGTAAAATGTTAATTTGACGGTTTTTTAATGACGTATGTATCCCCCGTTGGGGTGCTTTCTAATTTAGCTGTGTAATTGGCCATGTACCGTTGTTCTAGATAATTTACTGCAAACCAATTAGTTTGAATGACTATCTGTTCCTGTCCAAATTAAAGATAATAAAGTTGCGTGCACGCAGAAGTAAATTCACACTGAGACACATGGTTCAGGGTAATGAAAGAACTTCAGAGAAGTTTAATGGCTTCTGACAGAAAATGGGTGCGCAGACCCTTATAAAGGCATTATTACATCATTGAAGAAAATCAAGATATAGACAAATAGACATTGTTAATTGGCTTAGGTGCTAAGATGTTAGTAAAATGCCCTCCCCATTCTTAGGTCACTATCTACGTAATTTCTTAACTCCTACAGGTTTTAGCGCCATCTTGCTAAAATGAGGAGCTCACTCGACGGGAGGGGCCTTTTGGCAGCTATCCATTTGGAGCGTAGCTGGCACTTGTTAGTTTCTCAAGGTTAAGTTTCAAGGATTTTAGTAAATACACATTTTATCAAAGCTATTTCTTGCTGACATGCAAATTCTATGTTCTATAGACAAAGCTTCCTTGTAAAACTATGGGGGCCTCTTAGAGGTATAGCAAGAGGATTTAAAGGGGCCTTACAAATTTATAGAGGCCTAATAATTCTACAACAGTCCCCCCTAAAATGTTATTTGCTAAAAGACAAAACTTTATTTGTTAGTATCAGAAGAAGTATTAGCCCAAAGACACAGAAACCCCATGACCGCTGACTTAGTGTTAATGCAAAGTGCAAGTCTATCCCTCTCTTGACCCTAACAGGCTGCAGCACATCCGTCAGTACGGTTCAGGAACACTCTTCACTCCGCTGGTAACCCATAGTGGCTTATCCACTACTTCTCCGTACGGCAGTCTACCCATAAAGACGGACGCTGTCCCTGTACTGTCCCTTCCTAGACTTTCTGCACTTCATCAGTATAAGGGAGAGTTTGTAGCGGAATACAGGGTGAGATGAGGTCTTGATCATCGATTGTCAGATGAGTGAAGGTTGGTGTTGCTTGGTCTACAGTTTTCTGCAGGAATTTCCTTAGGCATGGGAGGACACAACAAATGAGAAGAGCGAGAATAAAAAGAAAAATTAGTAAGGCAATACCAATCTGGACTAAAGCTCTCTGCCAACCAGTCATCCAACCAAACCATTTTTCCCAGGGATCAGTAACTCCAGAGTTTCTCTTTAACTCTTCTGAGAGTCTATTTAATTTAGCTATGGCTAGAGTGACTTTACCATTAGGACCTGTGTTTTCTGGAATGTAAGTGCAACAAGTCATAGTGTCGGGAAGTATTTTACAGACTCCCCCCTTTTTCGGCTAAGATCATGTCTAAGGCCAGTCTGTTCTGGAAGGTCATTTGGGATGTGGCCTGTAATTGCTCGGCCAAGCCCTGGAGGGCATCCCTGGTGTAGTTCACGAAGCGCTGTTGGTTGTAATAGATATAATTAATCCAATTAAGGTTTTTGTTGGCAGTGACTATGGTAAAAAGTGATTCAAAACCTGCAGCTACTTCATCTCTAGCTTTAAATTCATTAGGTACCCCCCTAGGCACCCCAATGGCATCTATGTAAATGTGGGGGTCAAAACTGCCTTTTACTGGGGTTTCGCGCCTTACTCTGGCTGATGTATGTGGAGGGTCGTATGTGTCATGATGATTATCAGAAATAATATGAATGGGCATGATAACTTTGGCCAGGGTACACTCACCCCACCACTCAGTTTCCAGCCTAGATCTTAACTGTAGATCCCCACATAACCAGTAAATATCCCCCAATGACCTGGTATGGTGTTGCAACAGGCGTATAGGAACAGTTCTGTAAGTGGCGCAATAACCTTTAGAAAAATTACCCATGAATTTACCAATCCCGTCATACATGGCATAACAAGTGTAATTACCTCTATAGACTGTGATTCCATCTGGTGGCTTAACATTTTCAACTAAGAGAGGGTATTCTGCCGTCCATGCCATGCAGAGGGACCTATTAAAGTCATATTGGTAGGCAAAAAGGCTTAAGAAGCAATCTTCTATCTCTAAAGGGAGAGTTAGGGGGACGGTGCCAAGGTGGGGTCGGGCACCGCCACATACATAACATGCTGTTTTATTATGTTTGTTAGCATTATACCTCATCCATTCTAACCACAAATTAATGTCATTGAATCCAGTTTCAGCGGCCATGGTATCTTCAAAAGTGGGGTTAGCGATGGCCATCATATCTTTAAAGGACTAGATATGTGGTTTTAGCGGATTTGGGACCATATGATCAGCCCCTTGCCACTCTGGAGAGTGGGACATATCTCTGAGGTAGAAATGACCTAATTTGTTGTAGGAACCTTTCTTCCAATACATTCCCATTACATATCGGTCTGCATCCTCGGGGCCAGGATGTTCAATATTTAACATTAATTTCATAGGGGTACTTCCTCCAGGCTTTCTTAAAGTCATTCTTTGAAGGAGGGATCTACCCTGATTGTCTATCTTAGATAAAGCACTTTTGGGTTTATAACCCCAGGCAGGCCCAGTATTCCATCCCGCAGCCCCCCAGTAGTTACAGTCATAACCCCATTGTTCATCTACTACACAAACGTAAGGGTCTTTTGCTTGTGGTATATCTTTATAAATGGCTTGAATCTGTGACTTAGGGAATGGGCACTCTACAATATCACAGTAATCAAAAGTGAATGTAGCCACATGGGTACATGATGAATTATACCAGAAAGTGTACCCACTAGCATCTTTGGTGATGGCCACCTGCTGGGCTTTAAGGAGGCCAACTAAGGAGATAATGTACCAGAGGCACATGGTTGCATAGAGTTAGCTTCCTCTGGGGCAGGTGTCTTCTTGCAGTGGGAAGCGTGGATCCAGTTAGGCCTTCCGGCCAATTTGACAGAGGTAGGGGAGATCAGGAGAACTTGGAACGGTCCGTCAAATCTTGGTTCCAGGGTGTGTTTTCGCACAAATTTCTTGACCAGAACCCAGTCACCGGGGAGCAGACTGTGGTTGCCTGTGTCAGAATCAGGATCTGGAATTTTAGAGAAAACTTGGGCATGGATTTTGTTCAAAGCATTTGCGAGTTCAGTTACATAATCTACTAAAACATCAGTTTGAAGTTGTAGTTGTTGGGGAAAATAGCAACCTAGCCTAGGTGCAGTCCCAAATAGAATCTCGTATGGGGACAGTGAGGTAGTATTTTTGTACAAGAGCATTCATTAGATCCTTTGATAAATGTGCAGGTCTGTGTGCCCATTGTACGACTGCTGGGTACAAATTCTTAGGGAGGCAGAAATTGAGGTTGTTGGAGTACACTCCATCCTTCAGAACTGCCCCTTTCTGTTTCCACTTCTGTATTTCTTCAGGGGCAACTGTAGCCTGTTGTTCCAGCAGGATTTTCAGGTCAGTTGGAAGAGTCTGCAGAGTAAATATGGGAGTTTCTTCATTTCCGGACACTCTTCTTTCCACTTCCTGTGGTTCTTTTGCAGCTTGTTTTGCAGCCTGATCAGCTAGATGGTTGCCCTTTGCTTCATCTGAGTCCAACTTCCCATGTGCTTTTATCTTCAAAATGGCCACTTCTTCTGGGAGTAGGAGGGCGTCCATCAGCTCCTTGATCGCGGAACCGTGCTTGATTGGTGTACCGGTGGTGGTAAGAAATCCTCTTGTTTTCCAAATTAATCCGAAGTCGTGAGCCACGCCCAGTGCATATCTTGAATCCGTGTAGATATTGGCGCGCTTTCCTTCAGAGATCTTGCATGCTGAAGTCAGGGCTTGCAATTCAGCTTCTTGTGCAGACATAGTTGATGGTAAAGATGATGATTTGACAATTTCATCTGTTGTGGTTACGGCATATCCTGTATGGTATCTTCCTTCTTCATCAGCATATCTTGAGCCGTCCACAAACAGGGTGAGATCGGGATCTACCAATGGGTCTTCATGTACAGTTGGTAGATGTGTTGTTTCCATTTTCATCTGTTCAAAACAGTCATGAGGTGTATCTGGGTCGTATTCATTCACTATGGTTAAATCTTGGAACTTATTTTCCAGGAAATGACGTGGCCATGCTTTTAGGGTCAGTTGTTGGATATTTGACAACACCATTTTCCTGTAGCTGTGATTCGTCCATAGTGGCCCATGCTTTTGCCATAGGCCCAAGATCATTCCATGATATTGTTTTCAACTTGGTCACAGGGACATGTGGAATGGCAGTGTCCCAATGACGGTACAAATGCTTGAGTTCCGGAGGTAGATGAATCAAGACCATACTGTTGCCTTCAGAATCACAGTAGAAGTCTTGTGCAGTGAGTTTTACTTCGACCAGATGATAGAGTTCATCTTCATAGCAGGGTTCAGGAGTGATGTTTAATTTGTACCACATGGTACAGAAGGCATATCCTGCTCCGTCATGAAGGAGTGCTTGTCCATCATGAAAGGATAGGTTGGGATGCATTTCCTTCTTGATGGTGCCAGTGAGAAGAGAAACATAAATTTCGTCCATGATGAATCCGTAGTATACACCCCCCTCAGGGAGTGGCAGAAGAGTGGACGGATTGAGAACTTGACATCTTTGGAGGGTAATGTTGTCAGGCAACAAAAGATGACATTGAAGGCGAAGATGCCTGGCAGGAGTAACATGCTTAAGCTGGACCTGGTTGACTGGTTGACTATGGCAGAAATGTCATGAGGGGCCAAGACAACCAGGGGGTGGCCAAGGACAAGATCTCCAGTTCTTTCAATGAGCTCTCTGGCAGCAAAGACGGCCCGAAGGCAAGAGGGACGTCCTCTGGCCACAATATCCAGTTGGCAGGAGAAAAATCCAATAGGCCTTTGGCGGCCTCCAGGACCATGAGCCTGAGTGAGTACTCCTGTTGCATGGCCTTGTCTTTCAGAAACAAACAATTTGAAGGGTTTGGTATAGTCTGGTAGGCCAAGAGCAGGAGCAGAAGCAATAGCACGTTTGAGAGAACAGAAGTTGTCAAGGGCTTCTGTGGACAAGCAAAATGGGTCTGACTTGAGAGCATCATAAAGAGGTTGCATAAGGAGCGAGGCTTCTGGGATCCATGCTCGGCAATAGGAAATGAGGCCTAGGAAGGCGTGTAGTGACTTCGAGGTCCTTGGAGGTGGAATGTCCAGTACCGCTCTAACTCGGTCACGGGTAAGATGTCTGGTTCCCTGAGACAGACAATGGCCAAGGAAAATAACAGTAGGTTGGCAGAATTGCAGCTTGAGACGTGAAGCTTTACATCCTTGTTCTGCTAGGTAGCAAAGAAGATTAAGTGAGCATTGTTCTGTTGTGGGTATATCATCTCCACAAAGCAGCAAATCATCCACATATTGAAGCAGGACGACCTCAGGATGGTCAGATTGCCATGGATCAAGGATAGAGCACATGGCCTTCGCAAATTGACTTGGTGAATTTTGTGCCCCTTGGGGCATGACAGTCCATGTGTACTGTTGTTTGTCATGTGTGAAAGCAAACAGATATTGGCAAGTTGGATCCAGGGGAACACTGAAGAAGGCATTGGCTAGATCAATGACAGTGAAGTACTTGGCAGAGGGTGGAACGCCGGAAAGGAGAGTGTGTGGGTTGGGCACTATTGGAGTGTCCAAAACTGTGGCTTCATTTACCGCTCTGAGGTCTTGGACCAATCTGTACTTTTCTGGTTCGCCTTTTGGAGTCTTTTTCTTTACTGGAAATAATGGAGTATTGCATGGTGATTCACATTTGACAAGAGCACCCTTCTCCAGGAGTGCTTGAATTTGAATTGTAATGGCTGCAGCTTGAGCTGGTTTCAAAGGATACTGTGATTTTCGTGGCAATTTTACGCCTGGGATGAGCTTTACCACCACAGGCGGGACCTTTAGATGGCCTATGTCCTCTGGGCCTGTGGACCACAGCTTCTTGGGAACATCAGTCTTTAGTGAATCAGGGAAATTAGTCCTTAGGTCTTTTGCATCCCCATGAGGCTCTTCTAGATGTAGCATCAGGGGTAAGGAGCACAAAGCTGAGGTGTCTGAGACAGATAGAGGGGTGGATAGTTCCACTTGTCCATCTGGAGTAAAGGTGATGGATGCCTGCAGGCGTGAAAGAACATCAGCTCCTAACAGGTTAATGGGGCATGTGGAAGATACCACAAAGCGAGCAAGCAAGTTGTGGCAGTTACCAACCCGCAGTGGGGTGGACAGGGGACTTTGCCTTGGAAGGCCGTCCACCCCAACACAGGAGACATCAATATTGGAAAGAAATGAGGTATCGGGCAGGTCTTGTTCTCTCAGAACACTTCGGGCTGCACCTGTGTCAACTAGGAAAGTGGTGGGCTGGCCCTCAATGGGTAAAATTACAGTAGCTAGAGGCCCCCCCTGTTCCCCTGAAGACACTGCCATGGCAGGGGCATTAAGCATCAGCGGGTTTGCTCTCCTCAGTATGGGCTGTGTTACTGACTCAAACCCCTTTCTATGTCATTAGCCATAGCTTTTTGCAGTCTGAACATGTCTATCATTATAAATAATGGTTAATAGTAAGTTAAGTAAAGTTCCTATATGTCTTTGGATAAAACATTAACTATTGCGGTACTATCATTTATATTAATTAGACTATAACAATTATACCACCCTGTAACTAAGTAAACAACCAGTAGTGGCTGGGTTAATAAAACATGTCACAAACCCTTCTAATGCTAAACCATCATTTAAAGTAAAGGATGTTACTGTAAACATACGATCTGTAACTAGCAAGATTCGATTAAGCAAAGATACAATGTTTAAAATAACTTGCATTATTTGGCTATTTCCCTTGTTGCAAGATTAATCTGGATAATCAGCTGTTATGCTCTTATATTCGTGTCCAACAGATTTCATATGTAGGTCACACCACATTTGCAAATTACATTTTAGCAACCTTCTTTTTTTTTTTATATCACGGACAAATTGTTGATACAGGGAAACAAATGGCATGATTGTTTTAGTAATTATCTAAATGGGACGAGCATAATAGGGGTAGGCCTCATGATGGAGGCAGCCATGACAGGGGCGGGGAAGGAAATGACAGCAAGGGAGGAAGTGAGAGGGGTGACGTCCATGATATGTGTGGGAAAGGAAGACAGGAGGTGTGGGCATGGTAAGGGCGGAAGTGACGTTACTTTAGAAGCAACCGTGACTGTGGATAGGTCACGGGACTGGCAGGCGCCATCTTTAGGGTGGTGGTTGATGTACTTTCAACCATACACTATATTAAAACTATTAAAATAAGTCAGAGAAGCAACATTCTGTTCTGCAAAATGGAATACTAAACTATGAACAGACCTGGCAGGTTGAATAAGACAGTTGAGAACATTATGCATTTAACAGCCCATACAGCTGTTTCTAGAAACATGTACTTTAAAATAATGCAAGATAAACTCGCGGAATTCAACCTTATCTTCCTCAAACCATTAATCACTTTCCTCTTCACATACTAGCTTAACTCTGCATATTCCCTCTATCCACATTGCATAGTTTTGCAACAAATCACGCTTGCCTTTACACTTAACACGTCCAAATATTCCTCTATTCTTGTATCAGATTCACTTACCTCCGTAAATCAACACTGAGCTACATTCTTGTGTCTCCCCCACAATCCTCACTACCCTATCACAAAACACAATCCATATATACATATATATATGCATAAACGGCAAACGGCAACAATAATAATATTATTACACAATTATAACACCATATAACCTTTGAATTAGAATATTTTCCAGCAAAAATCCTGTCTCTAACTCTTATCAGTAGAAATGCAGGCAAGCGGGGAGGAAAGGGGGGGAGAAAGTTAGACAGTGCAAAAAAAGGGAGAGACTGCAGGCATGAAGACCATGTGAGTGCTGTAAAGTAACAAGACAGAAGGACAGAGACTTATACGTTTGGAAACCAGAAATCTTTGACGGGAGAAACGGACTGGAGGTGCAGGGAGCTGCAGAGAGAGGATGAGGGTGACGAGATCTGTAGGACTGATGGGGGGGGGGAATAGGGATCCATCAGCATCCAGTAACACAATTATTATAATACACAAACAATCTTAAACCTTTGTGATCAATTTCTTCCTCAACCTATCCCTTTTGCTGAATAGCTCTTGCTACTCGGTATCAGGCTTCTGCTGTACAAACCAAATCTTGGTCCGACAGCTTCCCTTTCTTCTCTGTCAGTAACTTACGCCAGCTCTCTGGCTACAATCTGCCGCACAGAGGTACGGTAATTCCACATACTTTAGCAATCTTACTCACTTTCTTAACCATCTCTTCTCCTTCTCTGTCTTCCACTAGATCACATGCTAACCAACCCTTACTGGGTTTATCTAACTTCTGTCCCATCCTCCCTATACAAGGCGTCCCAGATATAGAGAGAGAAAGGAACAGAACGTCTACCGTGCTCGACTGCTACTTTAAGAGCAAGCTCTTTAAGTACGTCTTCCCAAAACGTAGACTAGTCACTGATTCCGC